AAAAAAAAAAAAAAAAAGAATGTCCACACTGTATCTCCATGGTTCTGACAGGCATTCGTAGCTGTTCTGATCCTTCCTCTGCTTGGTCTCTCCCAAGATGGCAGCTCTGGGAGCACCTGAGCATCTTGAATTAGAAAGCCATGGATTTCTTGCTTCTGCTACAAATGCCCCTAGCTTTAAGCCTTCCAAGCTTCTAAATATTCCTTTATATGTTGTTCCGAATTCTGGCACCATCCCCTGAGCCTGCTTGGTCCTGTATTCTGTGTTATTGCTGACGGAGCTCCTTACTGCACGTCTACCATCTTGTTTGTCCTCTCAGTAAGAAGGCTATATCTTCAGGCAAGATGGCCTGGTGTGATCCTCAGACACCATACACACTCACAATTATGGGGTTTATTAGGGAAATTGACAGGTTACAATTCAGAGTGAGAAATGCTCAGGGCACAGTTCTTTCAGTCAGGACAGTCTCTCCTCAGCTGTGCGCACAGGCAGGCCTTTCTCTGCCTGGGCAATGTTGCAAAGCAATTTTGGGGCTGCTGATAAATGTCCACAGGACACACCATTCCGCCATAAACTCAGCCTGAAGGCACTTGGCTCTAGCTCTGTGCGCCAGCAAGCCTAGCTCTCCCATTTAAGAACCTGGAGGAAACCCACTCTATAAACAAGCCTCCTGCCCCAAATCACTCACTTTTACTTGCTCTGTGGACTGGGAATCTCACCACTCTGTCTTGTGGTCTGACTTCTGAGTCTTTGGCTACTGCTTCTCTGCAGCTCCTCTGGTGTCGCAACTTTCTGTCCATGGTTGAGGAAGTTAAATATGTAGAGGTCTTGGGAGTCAAAGGATGCACTCTACTCCTGGATTTTCTTTGGTGTTAGTAAGATTTCCCTTTACTGCTTCTAAGGTGGCTCATTTTATAACCCTGCTGAAGTTTCAAGTTTTTACAATTACAGTGAACTCTGTTAACATCCACAGCTGAATCATGCCATCCTATCAGTGCCTTCTCCCACCTTCTCTTATTTAGACCCATCAGGAAAAGAATAGTTTGGTGGACATTACAAAGACTAAGGCTAGAAGGGACATATCAAACAATTCACTACACCACAGCACCCAACTGGCAACAACCCACATATGTATTACCCATAGACTGCATAAATAAATTGTGGTAGAGTCATGAAAGGGAATATTATATGACAAAGAAAAATGAATGAACCAAGGCTATGTCCAATTAGCAGATGAGTTCCATAAATGGATTAATGTATGAATAAAGTACTTTGTGTTGTTAACCCCATTTTAGTGCCACCAGTGCCCTATGTAATAGGAGAAGTCAGACATTTCCACTATGTGCTGTTCTGGGGAAATTGTCCATGTCTGGTGTGCCATCACTGAGCCCATATCCTCAGTCAATTCTTCCCTGTTGTTATGGGTTGAATTGTGTCTCTCCCAAATACATGTTGTAAATCCTAATCTAATTGTTGTTATTTGTAATTGTTGTTAAGTGCCTCGAATCAGTTCTGACTCACAGAATCATCTAGGGTTTCTGAGGAGTGGCTGGTGAGTATGAACCACTGACTTTGCAGTTCAAACCTACCTTGCAGTCCAGTGCATATCCTACAGTGCCACGCCAGGATTCTATAGTGGCTAAATTATGATCCCATTTGGGAATCGGCTATCTTTCTTTCTAATGAGGCAGTACTAACACAGGGTGTGTGTCTTAAGTCAATCTCTTTTGAGGCATAAAGGAACAGATGAAGCAAATAAGTGCAGTTGAGGGAAGATAGATGCCATCACATGAGATCTCCAAGGATTCAAGAGGCAGAAGCTGAAAAGAGACAAGGTCTTTCCCTCAGCCCACAAAGACAGATGTCTTCCACAAGAGCCAATGCCCTAAATTCAGACTTCTAGCCTCCTAAGCACTGAGACAATACATTTCTGTTTGTTAGAAGCCATCCACTTATGGTATTTCTATGACACCAGCACGATTTCTATTATATCTTAATGCTGGTTTAATGGAGTCCTGGTGTGGCAATGTAGGATAAGCACTGGACCACAAGGTCGGTTTGAACTGTAAAGTTGGTGGTTCAAACCCACCAGCTATTCCTTGGGAACTCAATACAGGGTGTCTGTGAGTCGGAACCCACTCAATGACATTTAACAACAACAAAAGATGACTAAGGCATCCTTCAGTTGCTTGGCTCTGGCCACACTTCTTTTGGACCACTCCAAATTTGTTTTCTCCTCAGGGATTTACATGTATGGTTCTTCTTTTTTGGGATGCACTTCTTTAAGACCTTCTACTGACATTTTCTTTTCTTTCAACTGAGGTAAACTTCACATGTTATAAAATTCCCTATTTTGAAGTGAAAATACAGTGGTATTTAGTGCCTTGACGATGTTGTACAATTATCATCTCTATCTTGTTGCAAACATTTTCATCTCCCGAAAAGGAAACCCTGTGTCTATTAACAGTCACTCTCCAGCTCCTCCCCCCAAGACACTTTGTTGTTGTTGTTAAGTGCCATCGAGTCGGGTCCGACCCATAGCGACCCTGTACAGGGTTTCCGAGGGTGTAAATCTTTACGGGAGTAGAAAGCCTCATCTTTCTCCCGCGGAGCGGCTGGTAGTTTCGAACCGCTGACCTTAAGGTTCGCAGCCCGATTCGTAACCACTACGCTACTGGCAACCACTAATCTGCTTTGTGTCTCTATGGATTTACTTATTCTGGATATTTTATATAAATGGTATCATACAAGATGTCACCTTCTTTGTCTGACCTCTCTCACACAGCATAAGGTTTTTAAGATTCATCCATGTTGTAGCATGTATCAGAATTTTATATCTATTCATCTGTTGGACATTTGGGCTATTTTCACCTTTTGGCTCTTGTAAGTAGTGTAGCTCTGAACATTTGTGAACAAGCATTTGTTTACGTATCTATTCTCAATTCTTTGGGGTATGCACCTTGGAGTGGAATTGCTGAGTCATGTGGGAATTCTGTATTTGACTTTTTGAGGAACTACCAAACTGATTTCCACAGTGGCTGCACCATTTTACATTCCCATGGACGGAGTTCTATTGTTTTCATATCTTCATCAATACTTGTAATTTATGGGTTTTTGATTATAGATTTTCTAGTGGGTATGATAAAGCCCTTGTAGCACAGTGGTTATAGTGGTCAGCTGCTCATTGAAAGAACAGCCATTCGATCCTATCAGATGCTCTGTGTGAGAGAGATGTGGCAGTCTGACTTTACAGCCCTGAAAACCTTATGGAGATAGTTCTACTCAGTCTTAGAGGATTTAACTCAATGGCAATGGGGTATGGGTCCTCATTATGGTTTTGAGTACTGATTTTTTCTTTTAATATTCAGATTTCAGCTAAAATATTTAGCTGTTAAGTCACATATATTTCCCAGTCATTCACTTTCTCCTTTTCATTTCCTTCATAGCTCTTATTGCTACCTTATAAGTACTCACAAAGTATCTGCTGCAGGAATTAAACATTTACACCATACCTGGTTCGTGAAGGCCACAAGAACAGCAAAGCTGGACAGGTGGGTGGAGTTGCATATAGTGTGGCTCTTGTTCACGTGTATCAGATCACAGCCATCTGTGGACCAGTGGTTGCCCTCCTCAGAGCTTTTCCAGTAGACACAGAAAGTTGTCTTGCTATTGCGATTCTTCTGAAAATAGAATGGGTTTATCATCTTATTAGGAGGAACAATTATCCCTGGGTGCCATATTGGACACACATAGATTAGGGGTGGCTCAGATGATTCTGATTTTAAGGGAATAAGATGGCTGACAAGACCCCTGCTGCTGGATCTGCACTCTACTGGATTCTGCATAACTTATAATAAGGCTAAGATTTTCTGGGAAGCCATCATTTTAGGAGATTTTATTGTTCTTAGGATCTTCTCCCCCAAAGACTCAACCAACCAAATTTCCTTAGTCTCTTCACATCAGTTTTGTCCTTCACAGAATATTCTTTGATATGAGGAAAGGGGTGGTGTAAAGAAGACAGGTCATGAGAAGAGAGAATTAAATTAATTTTCTGTCAAGTATCCTTGCTCCCAGAACTTCTGGAGCATCGTTTCATGGGGTCAAGGAGATGGCTGGATGCTCTTTTGTTTGGGGGTCATGTTTCCTTTGATAATCCACTGTTTCAATCCCAGACTTCTTACCAGCCAGTGTGTTTCATGACATACATAAACATTCTATGCCTAGACTTTATGCACTAGAGAGAGAAAAACCCACATTTCCCCACTTAACTCTTCTTAACAGAGCTGAAAGGAAAAGGAGCAAACAAATTCTATTATGTATGTGTCTGGCAGCATCAATGGGCTCAAGCGTGGCAACAATTGTGAGGTTGACCCAGGATTGGGCAGTGTTTCGTTCTGTTGTGCATAGGGTCGCTATGAGTTGGAACCGACTCAATGGCACCTAACAACAACAAAATGTGTCTGGCTGTTAACACTCCTGTTTTAAGAGTTTGGGCAGGGGAAGAATGGAAAAAGGCAATTGAGGAAATAACAGTTTTTTGGTGGATAAGTTAGGTGCTGTTGAGTTGGTTCCGACTCATAGTGACCCTATGTACAACAGAATGAAATATTGCCTAGTCCTGTGTCAGTCTCATCATCGTCATTATGCTTTAGCCCATTGCTACTGCCAGTTGGCCAATCCATCTCGTTGGGGTTCTTCCTCTTTTTCTCTGACCCTCCACTTTACCAAACATGTTGTCCTTTTCCAGGGACTGGTCCCTCCTGAAAATATGGTTCAAGTATGAGAGATAAAGTTATGCCAGTCTGGCCTCTAAGGAGCATTTTGGTTGTACTTCTTCCAACACAGATTTGTTTGTTTTTCTGGCAGTCCATGATACTTTAAAAATTCTCTTCCAACACCATAACTCAAATGCACCAATTCTTCTACAGTCTTTCCTATTCATTGTCTGACTTTCACATGCATGTGAGGTTATTGAAAATGCCATGGCTTCAGTCAGGCACTTTAGTTCTCAAACTGACATCATGCCTCTTGAACACTTTAAAGAGGTCTTGTGCAGTTGATTTGCCTAACACAACACATCCTTTGATTTCTTGACACTATTTTCATGAGTGTTGATGGTAGATCCAAGCAAAATGAAGTTTTTGACAAATTCAATCTTTTATCCATTTATCACGAAGCTATTTATTGTTCCATTGGTGAGGATTTTTGTTTTCTTTACAATGAGGTGCAGCTCATACTGAAGGCTGTGGTCTTTGTCCTTCATCAGTAAATATTTTAAGTCCTCTTTGCTTTCAGCAAGAAAGGTTGCATCATTTGCACATCTCAGGTTATTAATGAATCATCCTCCAATCCTGATGCCATGTTTTTCTTCATATAATACAACTTCTCAGATTGTTTGCTCAGCATACAGACTAAATAAGTATGGTAAAAGAATACAACTCTGGTACATACCTTTCCTGATTTCAAACCATTCAGTGTTCCCTTGTTCTGAATGAATGCCTTGGTGTATGTATAGGTTCTTTATTAATCAGCTTGCTCATCTGAATCTGGCTTGAACCTCTGGTAGTTCCCTGCCAATGTACTGTTGCAGCCATTTTTTGAATTATGCTTACCAAAATCTTACTTGCATGTGATATTAATCATGCTGTCTGATTATTTCTGCATTCTGCTTGGTCACTGCTCTTCCAAATAGACATAACTATGGATGTCTTCCAATCAGTAAGCCAGGTAGCTGTCTTTTAAACATGTCGGCATAGATGAGTGAGTGCCTCCAGTGCTGTATCAGTTTGTTGAAAGATGCCAATTTGTATTTCATTAATTCTGGAGCTTTGTTCTTTGCCAGTGCCTTCAGTGAACCTCTTCCTTCAGTACCACTGGCTCTTGATCATATGCTACTTCTTAAAATGGTTGGTCACCAACCATTTCTTATAATTAATATCAAGCTTCTGTGTGAGAATGGGTGTTAATCTCAATTCAAATTACACATATTTATAAAGTACCTGTAACTAAAATAATTTTATGCACTAGAACAGTGCTGTCCAATAGAAATATCATGAGAACCACTTATGTAATTGAAAAATGTTCACTAGTCACATTGAAAAAGCAAAAGGAAAAGCTGGTGAAATTGATTTTCATATTGAATCTGATTTAATTCGCAATATACAAAATAGTTTAAAAGTATAATTGATATAAAAATTTATTAATGAGATGTTTTCCACTCTTCTTTTTTCACGTAAATTTTTGAAATGCAGTTTGTATTTCACTCTTAGAGCACATCTCAATTTGGACTAGCCACATTCAAATGCTCAATCGTTATGTTTGGATTTGTGGTTACCATATTGGGCAGTGTGGAGTCCTGGTGTGGGTTAATGAACAGGACCTCAAGGTCAGTGGTTCAAATTCACCAGCTGCTCCTTGGAAACCCTATGCAGGGTCATTATGAGTCGGAACCGACTCGATGGCACTTAACAACAACAACAACAACATACTGTGCAGTATAGATGTAGAAGCACAGCTTGGAGTATATACAGGCTCCTTTTCAGTCTACCTCCATGAAACATAAGCAAACCCAGACTACAACTCTGACCCACCTCTGTGTGCTGAAAAATCAGAGTGACAGGCTTGGAGAGAGAAATGTTCCGTTTGGGTCCAACAGCAACACTCACTACCCGGGAGTTCAGGTAGACTGGATCACTCTCATTCCTCTCTCTGAAAAATGTCGCATTTATGATCTCCCCAAGAGAATCATATGAAATAAAGGCCACTGCACTGGGACCTGGGGAAATAGAAAACAGAGGCCATCATTCCTACTGTCTTTTATGTCCATCACTCCTCAAGCAGGACCTTCAATCTCACACTCAGGAACTGCCCAGGGGATCACGCTTCCACCCAGGCTCTTCCTACTCAAATCAACTCATCCTTCAAGATCTAGCTCAAACCCAACCCCTCAGTTAGCCTGCTGCTTCTTTCTCTGACTTGACAGATGACTCTGCTGTGGCAATGAGTGTTGGCATGTTCACCAATCATTTTATGTTAATTGAATTCTATTTTCCCAACCAACTATAATGCTCTTGAGGGCAGTGACTATATTGTTGTTGTTAGGTGCCTTGAGTTGGTACCAACTCATAGTGACCTTATGCACAGCAGAACAAAACACTGCCCAATCCTGGACCAACTTCACAATTGTTGCCACACTTGAGCCCATTAATGCTGCCACTTGCCAATCCATCTCATTAGGGGTCTTCCTTTTTTTCTCTGACCCTCCACCTTACCAAAAATGATAACCTTCTCCAGTGACTGGTCCCTCCTGACAATATGTCTGAAGTATGAGAGATGAAGTTTGGCCATCCTGGCCTCCAAGGAGCACTCTGGCTACACTTCTAGCACAGATCTGTTGGTTCTTTTGGCAGCCCATGGCACTTTCACTATTCTCCTCCAACATCATAACTCAGAAGCATCAATTCTTCTACAGTCTTCCTTATTCACTGTCTAGCGTTTGCATGCATATAAGGTTATTGAAAATACCATGGCTTGGGTCAGGCCCACCTTTCATTTGGGAACCACAGGGCTGCTAGCACAGTGCCGGGCATGGCATAAAAGGTTAATTATTTTAGAACATCTTTTATTTCTTAGAGTTTAAATTATATTTCAAACACTCAGAAAAATAGACAAAAAGTATAGCAAACATCCATGCCCAGATTTAATAAATAGTCACATTTTGACATCTTGTCTTCTGAATTCTTTAAATAAAGAAATGAAATGTTTTAGATAGGATTAAAGTTCCCACTACCTCACTCTCTTTCTTCATTCTCCAGAGATAATCATGAACTTCAAGTTGGCGCTTAATAGTTCCGTGAATGCTTTCATAGCTTTACTATATATATATTTACATAATGATGCATACTGTTGTTTTCAGTGTTTAAAACATTCCCATAAATGGTATCACATTTTGGGTATTCTTTTGAAACTTGCCTTTGTCGTTTCAGTTAATATCATCAGGATTTTGTTAGACTTATACAAGTAGATTTGGTTTATTCATTTCAACTGCCATAGAGTATCACATTACTGGATAAACCACAATTTATTTATTGTAAAATAATTTAGAAAATTTTGTGAAAGAGGAAAAATAAAATGAAATTATAAAATTCACATATAATTCCACACTCTGAGATATCCACTGTTGGAGTTCTGTCTTTTCCTATATGTGTGTGTGTGTGTGTGTATACAAATATTCATGCTGGGAAAATCATGCAAGACCTACAGATGGGCAAAAGATATGATGGGATGTCCTATTAGTGGAGACCTGAGCACTGTTCATTAGGCTTTCTGGGCACTATATGATTCTACAGGGGTATTACATCTTTGAGGGCTTTTTTATTGCCAGACTCTTTTGTAACTAAGATTAACATGTAGAAAACTAGCAGATTCTTGCCATAGCTGCAAATGTATTTTGCCTGATAGGTATGTTGTTGCTTTCTAGCCTATTGAAAAGATAACACCAAACATGCCATTTGTTGTCCTATAGGATATTATAGGACAACAGTTTGTCATTAATAGGCTATTAACCAGTTTTGAATCTGTTTCAATTCAAATATTTTGAATATTTCAGTATTCCTGAGGGCTATATATAAAACCAAATGGCCACCACTCGTCTGTCAGTTTGTTGTACTGTGGTGACTTGTGAGTTGCTATGATTCTGAAAGCTATGCCACCGGTATTTCAGGTTTCAGATGAGCTTCCAGACAAAGAGACTAGGAAGAAAGAGTGATGAACTACTTCCGAATATTCAGTCACTGAAAACCTTATAAATAGCAGAAAAACACTGTGAGCTATAGTGCCGGAAAATGAGCCCCTCAGGTTAGAAGGCACTCAAAATGCGACTGGGGAAGAGCTGCCTCCTCAAAGTAGAGTTGACCGTGATGGTGTGAATGGAATAAAGCCTGGGGGAGAAAAGCCCACGGGACCTGCATTTGCTGATGGTGCACAACTCAAAATGAAGAGAAACAGCTGCAAACATCCATTGAAAATCGGAACATGGATTGTACGAAGCATGAATCTGGGAAAATTGGAAGTTGTCAAAAATGAAATGGAACACATAAACATCGATATCTTAGGCATTAGTGAGCTGAATTGGACTGGTATTGGCCATTTTTAATCTGACAACCACATTGTTTACTATGCCAGGAATGACAAATTGAAGAGGAATGGTGTTGCATTCATAGT